CCGAAAATTTTTAAAATCGCTCAATAACCACGCCTACTTCCCATAAATATTATAAATTTTTGTAAAATGGGCGTAGCCACGCCCACTTATGGTTACATGTGTATATCGTTGGTAACCGCTGCACCAATTTCTTCCGAAACTTGGCTACAGTTGTTGGCCTTTTTCTTCCAACATTCTGCGCGAAATCAAGAAGTGTTCGCAGTTGAAGAATGTGTGGTACACGTTATCTTCGACGTTTCCATAGTAGTGACACAACGGTGAGTCCACCCTTCCCATTCTATGAAGATATTCTCGGAAGTAACCATGACCGGTGAGGAATTGCGTCAGGTAGAAATCGACTTCCCCATGTGGTCTGTTCAGCCATGTTTGAAGGTCGGCTATCAGCGAGTGTGTCCATCGACCTTTGTGCTCGCATTCCAGTTATGTTCAATATAGGTTTTATTAGAGTAATATTTTAACATAATGCGATTTAAACGCATTTAAATCTAGCTGCATAAAATATGTATATCATACGCATCATATTTCTTGAAGCACCACATTATTTTAAATATGAGCAACAAGAGCAGAGCAATAAACCCTTCTGAATCAAATTTCCGTACAAGCAAATAAATTTGCCATTAATTCGACCACAAAGCCAATAATCCACTTGAACGCCTTTTGTAACACTTTTGTTTCGTTTCTTCTCACTTAACTTCTACCTAATTTGCCACTTAAGCAAGTCAATTGTCTGTTGGAGTTTCCTTAAAGTAAGTAGCTACATACATATAAGCGCTGCTAAATATCTGTCTACTTATACCTAGTAATTGTGTACGTACGTACATATGTATGTACATATGTATGTATAAAGGAACTTGGTATAAAGCGTAGCTGCAATTGCTCCAAGACAAAATATATCGAGCTAAAGATCTCAATAAAGCCACAAACAATGAAAGATGCAATGAAATGCGATGAAAAGCAAAGAGGGTAATGAAAAAAGGATCAATTACGACCACTAAAAAGGAACAATGTAGCTGGGCTGAATAACAGAGATCAATGTTATTGAAAAAAATAAAAAATAAAAATAGGAAAAAAAGGTAATTACTGCTATATCTAAATCTATTTGTTAGTGCAGCTCAAGTTGGTTCACACAAATAATGACCCATCCACATTTAAACCGTGCAGTAATAACAAAAATACAATTATAAAAAAAACGCGTATGCCTAGCTCCTTAGACATCGATTGACGATAAAAACGCAAGAGTGGTATTTATGGACAACCCCATATGCAAACATACGTGCACTTCTGTGTATGCATACATATTTAGGAAAGTGTACGAGCAGTTAGTTCCACGCATACTTACACATGAATACAGGCTGACGTGAAATAAGTTACAAAATTTTTATGGCGGCAACACGCGCGAATTTGTTGGGAAAAGGCCAATGCCTGTA